CATTTAAGTCATGACAATAGTTTGTCTGACAGAAAACACCTGTGCAGCGCTCTGTGATGTCGGAATAAACACAAATCACCACAAAAGAGGAACACATTTTTATCGAGGGGATTCTTCACACCAAATGCCCTGCCAAAATCCGACAGAGCGCAAATAAAAGACCTGTCTGCAGCAGACGCGTGCAAGTGCACTACAGACTAATAGCTATTTCGAGTAGCCTAAACGCTATTCTCTTCATCGAATGCATGTATCAAATTACATTTTGTGGGTAGATGTGTTTTCAACTTAAACAGCGGACGTTACTCATTGTAAATGTGTTTTTTAAGACCGCATAGACCCTCTACTCTTACCAGTACTACGTACCGGCTGTAAATCTTATAACGGTACGTCGTACCGGAGCGTACCGGCTTACTTTCATCCCTGTCTAAAACCAATTATTCAAAAGTGCATTATCTTTTTAATGCAACACATTTAACAGAAGCTAATGACTCCTGAACACCCTCCTGAATGCACTGACTGACTTGTAGACCCTGTAGAATAAAAAGCTTGTGGAATATCATACAATGACTATTGAAACACAACTGACTTAACAAAAGTACAGCCATTGTCATTTTCACTTTATTATTTAACACCCCCCACCTCACCCTCACAAAAGAGCATGGTAGTGTTCTTACACAGCTCTACCAGTGTGTGTGTGCGTCTGTGTGTGGATTATGTTCATATTTCATTGTGGGGACCAAATGTACCATTTTTCAGCATGCATCCGGCAGATCAAATTTCCTCAGAAAATAAATAAATAAACAGAACGACCAACCCAGTTACACACCTCTAGCTTTATTACTGCCCAACAGCAGCTTGACTGACAGCGCAGGAACAGTTTACTGTGATTGGTTTTTCTCATGTGAAGAACACAATATGGTCTCTCACATTTTAGAAAAGAACATTTGTCCTCTAACTTCAAAGCTGTGCGTCAAAGCAATGAGTAACAAGAACCTTTATTATCATTATATAGTGGAGTAAAAACTACAATATTTGTCTTTCAATTGTAGTGAAGTAAAAGTGACAAGTTTCTAAAAAAATTGACATTCAAGTAAAGCAGAGATCCTTGCAAAATGTACTTAAGTACAATACTCAGGTAAATGTACTTCATTACTGTCCAGCCCTGCTTTTGAATTGCATGTTGGAAACAGACTGTAGAGTAAGCAGTCTTGTTAAATGAACAGTAATGGGAATTATGCTCCTACTTTTTGTGTTTATTGTGGGAGCAGCACAGTGGCTGAGTAGGTAGTCACTCTTATGTCAGTGACTGTGCGTACATACAGTACGCGCCCTGTGACACACTGGCACCCCACCCCCTGTGGAGCCCAGCCTTGCGCCCTGTGCAGCCTTGGACAGGCTTAGCCCCCCACCCTGGGCATGATAAGAGGC